CCTTACGCCTACACATCCAAGACCAACAGCTGTTCGTGGAGCCAGGTCTTCTTCTACGTGAAGGAAATGGCGGTCTTTGTGTCAGTTCTCAACGTTTGCCTGGACCCGCTCATCTACTTCATCTTCTGCAAGGCCTTCCGGGCCAGGTTGAGCCTCAGGAATGCGCTCGCCACTACAGAGGTGTCAACGGTCGCAGCGAACGCAGACAGGAGGAGCAGCGATACGCAGAGCTCCATCAAAAGGAAGATATCGCTCACCCCAACGACAAGGACCAGCGTGCTGTAGCTTTAAGCTAGCACACGAACAACAAAGCTGCCTGCTGGGACCACGTCGGGCTTTTCAGAGACCTGCACTGAAACGTTTGCTATCAAAGGCCTAAATATTAAGAAAAGTCATGTCGGTACACTGAAGTATTTTTTACTAGATGACGAATTTCATCACTTAGCAACTATTTATCGTCTATCTTCTTTAACTCTGTGACTATAAACGATTCCTGATGGCCAGCTAAACTACAAGCCAACATATCTCAGAGGTTTTGACATTTTATGACCTCCTCCTGCACTGATGTACCTTTAAAACGTCCAAACTAGCCTCTTCTCAAGCTCATTTACAGGAAGCAGTCCGATTTGGTCTCAGGCGAACTGGACCCGTAAAACCCATGTGTTTAAAAAACTGTAAATATGTACATTATTGTTCACCTGAACCAGAGCCACAATTTGTATGTAAACTGCTTTGGATATAAATAAATCTAATACATTTATCACACTGAAATAAGGTTTCGTTCCCAAGCATTAAACATTTCACTCGCTGGCCCCTCATTGGAGGTTTGACAGCGTTTTAGTAGGTAACGGTGAAGGGGACCAGCGGCGGCTAGAAGTGGGGAAGTTAAAGAATTGAAGGGGGGGCACATAAACGAGAACAAGCAGCTTGCAGAATTGGGGGAACCTATATATGTGAGAACCGGAGTGTGTTTGGAGGCGTGGTCCTGCTCCTGAAATTCAGATAGTCTCTCCAAAAAGTGAGTTTCAGGCAGGCGCCAGCTTTCAGATAACTCCCTGATAAGACCACAGATGCAGGCAGAGCAACAATGACTCGCTGCATCGAGAGGGGTTTTTCTACAACATCTTTGGAAAGCCTCGGCCTCTTTATCAGGAGGAAAAGGTTTGAATTTTGACTTGCAAATGAACAAATATAGCACTTCGACACACGCACAGGCTTTTTCTGCAACTCTTCTTCCTCCCACGCCCTTCCTCCATGTGTCGTCACACCTTTCTGACATAAACCTGGACCAAAGGACATCACAGTCACTGTACGCCTACCACACCAACAGTGCAGAGCTGTTATATTTCTGTGCTACAAATACTGTAAATAACTGTGCACTGAGATATGAGCTACTGTAAATGACAGGTTAGTATTCTCCTAAAAGGTGTGAATTAAAAAGTCTGTTTTCTTAAGTGAAAATGATCAATGCAACAATGAAAACAAGATTAATTATGAGTTTAAGTGTATTCAAAGTGCAGACAGATGATCAGCATGGTGTTCGCTCGCTCTGCTGTACAGTATCACTTCCTGTTCCAACACACGGCGGTGTTTTTGTGTAGCTTATCTGTGTTTCATAAAAAAGTTATAGATAACTTCTTACTTCATAGAGTCGTCTTCACGTGCTTCATCCAAAGCACGCTCTCTGAGTACGGAGGAAACCTGGTCTTGTTAGGAGAGACGGCATCCATCCCACTTTGGATGGAGCAGCTCTCATTTCTAGAAATATGGACAAATTTA